CTATAATGTCAGGGTCCAATAATCGGATTCCTAATTCACTTCATTGATGTAACTCCTTAGTTTCCTCCTTCTTCTGATCGGCTTTATGTCGGCTTAAATTATCTCCCGCTATGGGGTTCATGGTATTGGTTATTCTGTTTAGCCGTTCAGCGGCGCTAAGGAATATGCATGATACGATCATTTAACAATTTAATCCTTTGTTTATGACCTCGGCTCAATTCTTTCTTTTAACGTATACCAGAATCTTCTACGGTTGTATATGCTACATGTATAAAACTCCAAACCCTTAAGGGCATTCATAACGTAACCAACTCTGGATCATTGATCGAATAATTCCTTTCGTTCCATCTTAGCTTTATTTCAAGGCAAGCTATTACTTTTCCTGGTCTTTCTGCCCCCCGTGTTGCGTCCATACTTAGCTTATCTTAGTGCTCACACATGCCAGAGTTTTTGTGCAACTCATATGATCTCGAATATTACTTTAAATTTTACTTCCCGTTCATTAGCCACGGTAGGTGCCACTTTCCTTTAGAGTGCTTCCAATGTTGTTGTGAGACTACTGTTACACGACCATTTCCTCATTAGGTCATTGTGCTTAGGTTGAAGCCTTCCTTACTTCCTCAGCTAGTCTTTCGTTGTAGTACTTAGGGAGAACCCTTAACTCTCGTAAAGTTGTGAGCTTATTACGGACCTTTTGATGTCCTTCCTTGCCTATAATCATCCGTAGTTGCCTACCTCCGTGCCCTTGTGCTTGTAGGGTTGCTCTGAACTAATATTTTGACAGCCTTCCAGTGGTACTTTCTTTTATCCCCGTAACACTCATACGGTACCTTTAACAACCCCGAATCCTATTTGAATATATCTCAAGTATTATAATGACATTACTGCGAGGATAAATTCTCCATGTTGGGGTTTACTACATTTATCTTGCACGATCTGCTAATCTATATGTAACGTCTTGTCTAGCCATGACTAGGCTCTTCCTGAATCAACTACTAACTACTCGTCGACCCATTCTCATATCCATATTCCGCGTAATCTCTCTTGGGTTATTTCCTTTGTCTAACTTACCTCTTGCACTGGCTCCTTATTTATCAATAACCTTTCGGGCAGGAACCCTTACTTCCTTTTTCTGACGTCGTGCTTACATAACGTTTTGGAATCATAGCATATCTATAGGATTCGGATAAGTGCAATCTCATCCCTTTCTCATTTTATCGCATTCTTCCTTTATCATTCCATATTCTCCCCTTTAGGGGAGTACTAAGAGTTGGAGCTACGACGACCTGCCTATAGATGTTTTTCCTCTCCATCTTTGGTGTCCTTTCGCATCATCAATTACCCTTACTCGCCTTGCGGTAATCCTTATGTACCAAGGATAACAAAATTCCTCACTCATAATGGTGGCACTTAGTGTAACTGGCACATATAGTACCTTAAGCTTAACTTTGCTCACATTGCTTGCTTTAGGGAAGCGTTTTCCTGAATGACCATCCTCTGAATTCGTCATGGATCTTCTTCTGTTGTCCATTCTATTACTGCCGGAACGCAATCTGAAATTCTCATGAAGCTGACTATTATCAAATCACTCGGTTCCTAATTCATGTTTAGTTTATCTTGTTCACTAGTCCAAATTGATTTCTATTACTCGGGGGTCTAACTTTCCCTTCTGTTAATCACGTTAGAGTCGCGAACCTATTTCTCGAAATGAGGACGTGACTGTATGGCCTATATTTTTGTTGTCTTAAGGCCCATCACCCCTCGTCTCTTTCTTCATTTGACTATAGATTCTGTAATACTGTCATCTTTTTGACCTACCGTTGTCATCCATGTATCACATCTTACTCTTAATGCTTCATTAGATCTCTTCTTATTTCTTGCTAACATATATGTCTATCACTTTATTCTGAAACTTTCAACAAGATATTTTTTCGCTTTTAGCTCTCCTTGCTTCATTCATCGGCTCTTCGGGTTGCTCAACCCCCTCGCTTTACTAGGGACAAGAGTCACACTAAGGTAATATTTATCCTTCTAGGCTTTCAGTGCCTATCTTCGGAATTTTTTGATCATGCTAGTATTCTCATCTAATTGTAATATTCTAGAATGCACCACCTGGGTGTCTCACAAGGAGATCTATTAGCACCTTTGTAATATCCTTCAGAAATGTCAACTAACGCAAACCATCCGTTCATCATTTTGGGTTACTCTAACCCCAGCGGATCCTACTATCCTGTCCTTCTCTTAAACCATATCCATTAGCTCCCATAGGGCATCAATGAGATAGGTGTGGCCGATGGTACGTACATCTATTACTGTTGAAAATAATTCAAAATGCTTATATCTCCCTTCCTGAATGGTAAATAATGATCATCTTTATTAATTGGGTACCTTATACCCTTCTTCACCTTGCTTCTTTTACTTGCTGCAACTTGTGTCTAACTTCCGATTCCGTTATTCCTTTTTACCGTAGGAGTGGACAAGTATTCTTTCCTAAAAGCTCTTTATCAAGAACCTTTCACCTTTTAGTGCACGTATGATCTGCTGAAGACCTGGCATTTACTCATCATAAGCAAGACGCAAAATCGAGTTCCTCTAATTCAATGCTTCCACAACTATATCTCTTATTGATCATCTTTCTGAACGTAGGCATCGTCTTATTACGAATAAAATAGAAGTTCAGAATTTGAATTCTCATAAGTGAGCACACGATCTAGAGTAAGAAGAAAGAGTGACAGTCCTAAATGCCTTGTAGCCTCCTGCTTATAAGTGTGGTGCACGACACACCCATAAACAAGACTCTACTAGACACGGCTTGTAGACTCCCTAGGACAGAACTTCTCTGATACCACTTTTNGCTACTCGACCTGTCTATCGGGACTAGTGGGCATGAAACGCAGACGTCCCCAAGCAAAAGTGACGTCAGTATGAAAAATATACCGAGTATGTAAAGCTCATAAGTAAATACGACATGGAAGAAATATAGAGTAAATGACTCAACCTGTAAGTCTGGATAACTCTGTAAATCATGAAATACTTATAGTGTCATGCATACGCGTATGAATGTCATGTCGTGCATAGGTACATATGTTCATAACATCATCAAGCCTCTGAGGGCATCCCATCATATCATCTCGGCCACTGTGGGCAAATCATCAACGTATACCAGCTGATCAGGTGGTGGTGCGTATATAATGCCATAAACTTTTCCCATATCCCATATACATATACATACATATATACGCGTATATAAGGCCGTCTGAGTCATGGGTCAATGTACATGTATAAATGCATCAAATGCATAAGAAATACGTTAATAAGATTTTTTTCGGAATGTCATAAAACTCAATATGCCTTTCGAATAAACATTATCAAATACGTATTTTTCTGAGACCCATGAGCAGAAGATATAATAATAATTCACATGGGGAATCAAGAATATAGACACCCCTAATATTTCTATGAATAGAGTCATTTATGAAAGTTGCGTATTTTGCTCGTTTCATATGTATCGTATGGATCATGCCAAAAGGAAGAAAGGATAGCCTTAACATACCTGGTAGGGAAAAATCCGTATAATATTCTTGATGGGGTGGAAAATATTAAACTTTATCCACTTATTAGTTAATTGGGTAATGTCCCGTTACCCGGGAATCAACCAATTACCCACATAATTAAAAATTATCTCAAATTACTTAGAATATTACTCACTTTTAACATACCTTATACACATACTATCATGGCCATGTGGTACCTTGTATGGTACTAGTCCATAAATACCGGATATTATTGCTCGGCCCGTATTTAATCCCAACATGCAAAACTTGGACGAAAATTCACTTTCCTTGACTTGCCTCCCTCTCACCTTCACGAATTTACTCATTTTCTTTAATTCGTGTACCCTTTATCCTCCATGTCACTTAATTATCGCTTGTTATAAATAGCATAACTACGTTAACCTCAAGATAATCTTATCCCCGAGTCTACGTCGATTAACTGAAGACGAAACTTTTAACGTATGAAAACGTGAGATGTAACACGTAACATCTCATTTTCGATCTTATGTCAATTCACTTGTGGCGTACTTCCACGTACGAAAACATGGGGTGTAACAGAGAATTAGGGATTTTAGGGCTGCCGTTTGTGAATAATGGATAGGGTTTAGGGGGGTCGTTTGGTTAAAATGGTAAGAAGTGATGGCCAAGATTTAGAGGGTTTGGGGTCGGGTAGGATTTAATTGGGCTAGGGGTAATTGCTTTGGGCGTGGGGAGTTTTGGGCTGCTTTTGGGTTAATATTAAGGGGTTTGGGTTGGTTTTAAAGGTGGCCAGGTCTGAAAAATAAAAGGCTATTTGTTAAATACCCAAACAATTGATAAAAAATATTTTATAAAATAATTAACAGGTTATAAAAAATTATTTTCATGCATAAAATGCAGTAAAATAATTATTCAATATTTTAAAAATACAGAAGGCTATTATCTGGTAAGATAATGTAATAATGCATGCATGGGCTATAATTGCAAAGTAATTGCAATTATAACCCCAAAAATATAAATGTGGCTATTTGCAAACTAATTAAAACTTAGTACAAATTAAAATGATAAAATTAAGCCAAAAAATTATTATAAAACTATTTGTGATGCAATTAGTGATTGTTTATATAAATAAAATGCTGGGATAAATTAATTAAAAAATTCTAAAAATGTAGAAATTATGGAAAAATGTCAATTGATGCTGATGCATAGTTTTGAAGGCATATATGCATTTTAAAAAAATTATAGGGAAAAATTGGGTATCAACAATCCCCATGTCTAGGTATACCTTTCGATCGGGCAGATGCTCAATTAATATAACTTGCTCGAACTCTTCGACCGTTGATTTGGTGGCGTCGGTATCATCAAGAGCTATGAATGATCTCGGGACGTTGTAATCCTGCTCATCCTATTCCTCCAGTTTAGCTGAGGTCGGTATCATTAATTGCTATTTAGCCTCTTCTTATTTAGTTAGTCCGTTCTTCTTGATGTTGAAACCGCGAGCACCAGGATCACATCATCAACGGCAAACATTTCTCTCGCGGCCGGCTGTTCTCTGTAGACCGTTTTGACTCCCCACGGTGTGGGAAATTTCAACGCCTGGTGTAAGGTTGAAGGTACCGCCCTCATGTTGTGGACCCATGGCCTTCCGAATAAAGTGTTGCATCTCATATCTCCTTCGATCACATAGAACTTCGTTTCTAGGGTTGTATTGGCAGTGTTTACCGGCAAAGTTATCTCCACTTTTGTGGTCTCACATGCCATGTTGAACCTATTCAATACCCGGAACGCCGGTACGATTTGATCCTGTAACCCTTGTTGCTCTATGACCTTTGATCTGACGATGTTGGCTGAGCTACCTGGATCAATCAATACAAGTTTAACTCGGTATTTATTGATAAGTACAAATATGACTAGTGCATCATTGTGAGGCTGTATGATGCCCTCGGTATCTTCGTTACTGAACGAAATAGCGCTCTCTGAAACGTAATCCCGAGTTTTTTTTTCCCTCGTAATAGACACTTTAGTTAGTTTTATCATTGGCCCTTGGGGGAAATCGACTCCCCCAATGATCATATTGATCACGTGCTGAGGCTCTTCCAGTTCGACCTGTTTGTTGGTGTCCCAATTTTTGATGTGGTTTTTGGCTCGCTCGCTTAGGAATTCTCGGAGGTGGCCATTGATGAACAATCGAGCTACTTCTTCTCTTAATTGTTTGCAATTTTCGGTCCTATGACCATAAGTGCCGTGATACTTACACATCAAATTAGGATCTCTATGAGCTGGGTCGGACAGCAAAGGTCGGGGTCACTTGGTCTCTTTGATGCGCCCTATGGACGGCACAATGCTTGCAGTGTCTATGTTGAAATTATACTCCGATAATCATAGTGCTTCCCTACTCCCGAGCTTTTGCTCATCAGGCCCCGATCGTTCGACCCTCGATCACTTCTCTTCTTGTTCCTTAGTGGATGACTCCAGGACCTGTTTCCCCTTCAATCCGTGTTGTATAGTTATCTTGGACCGCCTTGGCTCCTAATCGATGGCTTTCTTAGACCTATCATCAGTTCTGATGGGGTAACCAGATCCAGAAGAGGCTTCAAGTTGGTTGTCCTCAACCCTGATCTTTGACCGGTACCTGCTGTGGATGTCGGCCAAGGTTACCGCCAGGTACTCTACCAATTTTGTTTTAGTTGCTGAGAAGCCACGGAGCTTTGGGGGTTGATCCCCTGAGTGAATGCCTGAACGGGCCAATCATCTTTGACTGGTGGTAGATCCATCCGTTCCATCTGTATCTTGACACAAACTCCCTGAGCATCTCATTATCCCTTTGTTTGAGCTTGAAAAGATCAGACTTTCTGGTCTCGATCTTGATGTCTCCGGCATGAGCCTTTGGGAAAGCATCTACAAGCATAGCAAACGAGTCAATGAAATTTGGAGGAAAGTTGTGATACCATATCATTGATCCCTTGGACAAAGTTTCCCCGAACTCTTTCAGCAACACTGACTCGATTTCATTATCTTCCAAATCGTTCCCTTTGATTGCGCATGTATAGGAGGTTACATGCTCATTTGAATCCATAGTCCCATTATACTTGGGTATGTCGGGAATTCGAAACCTCTTCGGGATCTTCTTTGGTGCTGCGCTCGGTGGAAAGGGTTTTTGGATAAATTTTTTGGAGTCTGGTCCCTTTAATATCCGAGGTGCTCGCGGGATCTGATTAACCCTAGATTTTTATATTTCCATCTTCTTGTCGTTGGCCTTAATCTTTTTCTCTCCTGACTCCACCCATTTGTTAACGCTTCGAGCATCTTCATCACCTCTGAAGTTTCTTCGGGCTCGGCTTCACCCGGTCTTTTGATAATTTGTTCGTCTCTCCGAGTATTTTTCCCAGGATTGTTCAGGCTTGACCCTGTTAGTAGTGTGGCTTTGATTCTGCAGCTATGCTATTGCCGTTTGTTGAGATTGCAACATTTTGAAAATCAATCGTAGGCTCGCTCTATCAACCTTCTCATTTGGGTGCTTCTCGAGTCATTGATCGGGGTCCTCCGCAAACACTATTTTCAAGATCAGGTTGCAAATTGATGTTGATGGCCACTTGTACGCTAGCATCGACGGGTCGGTGGCTGGGAAACCATTGGGATCAACAGGATGCACATCGTTATTAGGCATCAGATTATAATTTTTGATGTGATGGCCTGACTCAGCATCAACGTTCAAGTGAGCAGAGTGAGAGTTTGACATTTTTAGGCTGACTTGAAATTAAGATTGCAAAGAACAAGCATAAAATAGGGTGTGTTATGGAGATTCGTACCAAATCACCACTATTATCCGTGGCCCTATGGTGGGAGCTAAACTGTTCACCCCAAAAAAGAGCAATAATAAAATTTGTACGCGGTTTAAAGGATACGTGGTTTAATTTAATACGAACAATTAAGAATAAAAGATAGATGAATTAAAGACGGAATAAATAATCAACCAATCGCAATGCGATGACCAAGCCCGATCTCAGATTAGACAATGGGACTCGTCCTCGATTGGACCCTCGAGGCAAGCTCGGTCGCGAGTGTATAAAAGAACAAGTTGAGAATGCCTTGAACAGTAACTAGAAGACAAAAGTAAACTTTTATTGCTTTGAATTGTGTGTTACAATGTGTCAGACTAAAGAAAAACCTCCTCTTTATATAGTAGGAGAATTTCAACCCTAGTATAAGCCTAAAAAAAGGTAAAAATCTTTTTTTTTCCAGTAATTATTGATCTATAACTGATATTGGACGTGATTCGCGCCGTAATATCCGTTTGAGGGAAAATATTATGGCCTCCTATCCGTCATGCATAACCATTCACCACGTCTCCGAGGTATAGAAGTTGTACTCAGTCCGGAGTGTGTTTCTTTACCTTGTCCCTTCTTAGATTCATCATTCATTTCTCCCGCTATAATCATGTCGATCCGTGCTTCATCTTAGTTCTCTCATCGACGAATCGGGAAAAACTTTGCCCTCGATTTCACCCGTACACACAATCAATTTATTCAATTTCTTTCAAATATTTTTAGCTATTGAAGACCGTCCAACTAGCTTTAAAAATCAACAATCCAGTCCCTTCATTTCAGATTTCAACCATCATTCACTTTCTTTCATTACCAAATTGGAGATTCATTTCTTAAAAAAAAAGCAGCATATTCGGAGCTTGATGTGTGGCTATAATTCATGGTTTAGCACATTATATGCCTTGCATTTTACATGCTTTAATGATAAATTACACTTTATTTGTGCGTACTGGAGTCTATTTTATGTGTAGGTGAATTGGAGATGAAAGTAGAGCAAAAGGGATACTTAAACGTTGAAAGTGTGCTCGAGAATAGTGAAAGGGAGAGGCTAGGCAAAGGCCAGGCTGAACCAGGCTTTAGCCTGGCGTGTCCAGCCAAAGGCCAGGCTGAGGCTGGTGTTAGGCTGGCGACGCCAGACCTGGGGCCAGTTTCCATTCCGAATTTTGAAAACATAATTCGTCTACTAGTTTGACTAGGACTTGGCCTACACGTTTACGTCTTTTCCAACACATATAAATAGACCTAAAACTGTCACTTTTGATAGACTTTAGACAGACGAGAGGGAGATCGAGATTGGACATATTTGAGAGGGGATTCGACCTAAGGAGGAAAGAACACACTAGGAGCAAGGCGGAGAATTCTTCTACGAGTTTTTCACTTCCTTCTTCCTACTTTCATTATTGGTTATGAATTCTAGTATTGTAGTTTTGCACACTATTATGAATAGCTAATTTGTTATCTAGGGTTTTGATGGAACCTTTTGGAGGATGATTTTCCTATAATGTTAATATAGATTTGCTGTAGTATTTTCTGTATTTGTTCAACTACGTTATTATTGTGGTTGTTTGAAGAGCTCTTAATCGACTGTGCCTATTTAGTGTGTATTACTCGGGAGAGAGTGTATATTTAGGTACTTGTTTAACAACATCACTCCTAACGTATATGAGGGATCAATACAGAGGGTTTAAAGGTGGGATTAGGGATAATGATACCTTGGTGCGATCCGAGTGAGCCATACTTAATGCCAGCTAGCGTAATTCGGGAGAATATGTCTAGTAAATTCTGGTAATTACCCGGGAGAGAGTTACGATAGTCGGAGTGCTCATGATCGGTAGAGAAACTTAGGGAAATTTATAGAAAACGTAGTGGAAAGGATTCCGACAATAGAGAAAATCATAACTATAGACCTCCTTAATCGTGTCTCAATCCTTATCCTTGTTAATTGATAGTGTTATTGCTTTCTTGTATTTGTTTGTTGATTAGATAAAAAATAAACATTCTAATCTTTATAATTAGGAAATTGTTTGGACTTGTGTTTAGCAATATTGAACAGCTATAGCTAAGCCTTAGTTCTCTGTGGGATTCGACTCCGGACTTGTAAATCGGATTATATTTGCAGCGACCGCTTAATCCTTTTTTATAAGGCATAGTTGGGCGTGATCAAATTTTGGTGCCGCTGCCGGGGAACTAACGGTGTAGCTGTAGGTGTACATATTTCTAGGTTTCAAGTTTGTACTTTTATATTTTATTTCATTTTTGTATTTGAATTTTTTAAAACTTTTTGTTTTACTTGTTAACTGGAGAAACATGGCATCTTGGAATTATGAGGGTTTTGATGTTGGTAATACTACTATTGATATTTCTAATGCTTATTGTGGAGGAAACCACCCATGGCAAAACTATCAAAATATTCACGAGAGCGAGTTATGTGCACCAATTCAATATTATGTGTGGAATATGTGTGATATGTGTGGTGGTCAAGATGGTCACTTTTATGGTTGTGCTTATAATTCTTATCTTCCCACAACCACTTACTTTGATGGTTCTTTTTTTTCTTGTGAAGTTAATAGGAACAAAGAACCCAGGGGTGATGACCTGAAAGAGATCAAGGATATGTTAAAGTGCCTTGTGGAACAACATAGTAAAATACAGCTCCAGATAGAAAGGCAAGAGGAAACTATTCATAACGTGAAAGTTCAAGTGAGTCAACTGGTTGAAGATTTGAATGCTCAACAAGCCAATATTGTGGATAATAGCCAAGAAGAGCATGAATTGACTGCAGAAATTGCCATTATACTAGAGGATTTTAAAAAAACGAGGAGGTGCCAGTGGAGAAGGCCAGAGTAGAACACCAACAATCAATCGAACTAGATTTTGAGGATGCCGATGTTGTAGAAGAGATACTAGAGTCAACCAAGGACATTGATGATACGTATTTAGTTGACTCTAGTGTCATTAGTGTTGAGGATGTAAACAGTCCCAATGTTCATGTAGTTGAGCGCATTGGTCCACAGTCCAAGCATTTTTCCACATTGTGTCTAGATGATGATATAGAAATAGAGTTATCCGAGCCACTTGAGGAGTCGAGGAATAAGGAACAAGGTGCTTACATTCTGGAATTTTTCTTGCCAGAAAGTCGGGATTACACACCTCATCTAAAGGCCAAGAAGTGCATAGTACTACATTATGTTATTGGGCCAGTCATAATCGTTCCACCACCCCAGGAGCATGATCATAGAGCAGAATCAAAAGTTGGGGTCCAATTCATAAGTTCAAAGTGCAGGTAGAAAGTAATTTGTGTCGTGCCGCGACGTTAAATCAAGTACTTGTTGGGAGGCAACCCAGCTTTACTGCTTCCTTTTATTTTTTTTAGTATTGTTTTTAATTGTATTATTTTCGCAGTGTCGATTTTTGATTTTCTAGGAGCATGGAAAG